CTGAACACATGCTAAAAGTTTAGTATCAAATTTAAACTTGAACCATTTTTTGTAATTGATCAGATTCAGATTTGGTTAAAGTCATTTAATTGCAAAATTATAAATTTATATTAGGAATTACAGAATATCAAAAATGTAACTATTATGCATAATGTGCTTTTAATGATTGACAATTCTACATTTCTATTCTACAAATATAGAATTATAGAATTGCTGATCCATAATTCTACAAGTGGGTGATCATTATTGCAAGATCAGATGACTTTATAAACAGTTACATTCCAGGTTTTTTATGTAACCTTTTATGATTATTCTTTAACTATTGTTGTAATATTTTGTAGCTTGTGTTTACTGGTAATTTCGGATTTGTATATGATTTTTGAAATTCGCATTGTTATGATTATTGTTAGACCGTAATAGGGGTAAGGGATAATGGCTATAGCCAAGGATGAACCAATGAGATGGGATAAATATTTAAGGCCAATTGTCTCAGTGAAGAAGGTTATCTTTCTCTTCGCTATTGCTCGCCTTGTGAAGGCTTGCTCTATCGCCCTTCCTTACCAACCCGATTTCAAGCAAGTAGTGTTGGTTTTGTTATATAAAGCTCCACGGCTGCAGTAGTAGTACAAGGACCTGTTGTTTGGTTTGGCTCCACGGCTGCAGTAGCATTGCAAGGAACAGTTTTGTATTTGGCTCCACGGCTGCAAGTGGCAGTGCAAGACCAGTTTTTGTATTTGGCTCTGCGTCTGCAAGTGGCAGTGCAAGGACCGTAATAAAAATAAACCCTTGCTTATATTGGAATGAACATATATACCGATTCTCTTACAGCTATGAGAAGATTTGATGGCTTCCCTCAACAGGAAAGCATTTTGATCGGTGAATTGTTGTTTGGGTCGCCCTTTACTGTGGGGCATGCAGAACATTAGTCGTGTCCTTTTCACCGGTTGTTTTGATAAATCTATATCTTTGTAGTTGAGAATTTGGTTATGTATATTAGAGCCACAAAGGGTAGCGAGCCCCTATCCTATAAGTTCTTCAGATTTGTTATGTGTTTCACACCGTGTGTGAAATCATTTGTGTAAAACAACGTTTCCTCCTGTTGCTTAGTGCTGAATTCTTCTATCTTATTAAAAATTTAACGGATTGGCTAAAAAAATGGTGCTAAACTAAAAACTTGAAATACATATGTCGTCAGTTCAATTCCATTGAAACTCTGTAATTAGCTAACCTATTTTCACTGTTCGTATATAACTTACTTATTTTACTTATTATTTTTATTTTATTTTTATTTTCACATAATTAGTGGATTTCAAAATTAAATTCAGAGAATCTTATTTTATTTTTCCGATTTATAATTCAACATAGTAAAAATGCTATTGAAAAAATCCTATTTATTTTCGAAATGCGGCTTTGTTAACTTTGAAACCCCAATTAGTTATATTTCAGTTCCCGTTTCATTTCATTTCTTTCTTTATATATGCTGTAAGTGGGAACAGAATTTAAGTTGCTTCTGAATTTTAAGGCTATGGTTGGGACTTAGTATAATTGTTATAATCTAAGTTGATTCCGAACCTATTATGATTCCTTTCTCACTTACAATAAATATACTGAGCAGTTGGTATTATCCTAAATAGATTATGTGCTACTGATGTGTTACAAACTCAATTACACATAATAGATGAATTTTTTTTAAGCCTCGAGGCTGCATCCAATTCTTGCCAAGGCAATGGTATTATACAATATGAAATATATTTCTGTATTTACTGTTATTGAATAAACAAGCTGATTGTTTGAAACTGACAAGATCTTCCAAATATTAACGTTAACCTTCTGATCCAAGATCATTAAATCCAAGATTCAAAGAAGTCAGCGTGGTGTTTTTGCAAAGTTTAAATAATGTATTCAAAACCATTAACATCTAAAAGATTACATCTTGAATTTTTACTTCTTTCAGAAAGAATTTTCTCGTTCTTATCTAAAATGAGTTCATCAAAATCTGAAGAGCCATTAATTGAAGATCAAAGGATTTCGATCGATGAACCTAATACGCACGGAGGAAAAAAAAATTGATAAATGTTTTATCACCAAATATGCAATGTGTTGCGACTTTGAATTATGAAGATAAATCAATTGTTGTATGGACCATTACAGATGAATATTATGAGTCATTAAACGTTAATGATCTTGAACAGTGTTGGCACATGGACTATGTCCAATAAAAATTTTATTTGGACTTGGACAAATATGGACATGGACTAGTCCAAATAGTGTCTATGTCCATATCTTCTTTTTACCGAATTTTTCGGGATATTTCGGCCTTTTACCCTAATTTTGGCTTATTCTTCCGGAATATTTCGGAGTAGTAAGCCCATGTGTTTTATTTGGACTAAGTGCCTTATGTCCAATAGAAAATTATGGACAATATGGACATAGTCCATAAATGTCCATGTCCAATAGTCCATATTGTTCATGTCCATATTTTGTCAACACTGATCTTGAAAGTGCATTAAGCACTTATAAATTTAGTGAATCCTTTTCATATTTTAAAATCGAATATATGTTTGTAGACGACAGGTTTAAAGGAATTTCAGATAGTAAACAAATGATACTAGGAACGAATATTTCTATTTTTGAAATTGATTTTGGTTGGTTAATATTAATTAATCGCAAAAGCTTAATTATATTTTATATTAATAAAGTTTATTTTACAGTAATTATTGATATTACAACTAAATTAAGACAATTATTGAGTGTGCAAATCAAAATTACAGTTAGAGTTAGAGTTAGGGTTAGAAATAGGCAAGTGTTATAGGCAAAATTACTTCCTGACATTTTTTATTAGTACTTCAAGGCAGGTTTAGACACTCATTTTTTGTATTTTCTGCTTTTTTATTTTTTTTTTTCCGCTTTATAAAATTAGTGATTTGATTGGTCAATCAATGTAAATCTCTCAAATAAAGAGATTGAAAAACGGTGCGGTAAAATTGGCCGTGAAGGTATCTTGCATTTCTTAAAGATAATGTAGTAATGAGGGATAAGAGGTTTCCTTAATAAATGACTTATAGTTCTGATATTAGTTTTCAGTCTTTTATTTAAATTATGGATTATAATAGTTATACGGATGTTGGTGGGACTTATTATTAAATTTCATTATTTATGTCATATTTATTGTATATAAATTGCTCTGGGTTACGGGGTTAATTTCCCAAAACCTACCTTCCCGAAATACCATTTCCCCCGACCCCATAATTCCGATATCCCTTTTTCCCGAGAAAACATATTTCTGAAAGTGTTTTTTACTGATAGAATTTTTTTACCAAAATTTTTTTCTCGACACAACCAATTCCCCAACACCTGAATTTCTGAAAAATTTTATTCGACTGATTTTTTCACCGACAAAACCCTTTCTTCGAACTCCTGGTCCTCAGGCAAAAATTTTTTCTGAAGCCTTCTTTACAGAAACTATGTTTTTTGCTAAATATGTTTACAACATAAATAAAATATAATTATAATATAGATAAAATTTAATTTTGATTATGTAATTTAATTTGATAATGTTAACTTAATAATATCTAACATGTTAAAACATTTTTAACAGCTAATAAAATTTTTTAAAAGAATAATTACAAAATTAATGCTAAATATTTCTAAATTGAAATTATAATTAAAATTT